CAGTCGAAAGGGAAGAGTACTCAAAAGTGCGCTCTTTTAGGGAAAGCTGCTTACTGGGCTGCTCTTGCCCTAATAAAGAGGTGACCTGTGAATCTGAAAAGGACCCAAAGTTGATGACTCTCTAGAAGTACTGTTTCCTTTTAACTTCTAAATTGCTACATGAGCTATGAAATAAAATTTTAATTGGATATTGAAATGTATAGTGACATACCTGGAAGCTACCACTTTGAGGGGAAAGTATTGCAGGAATGACGTACAATTTTTAAGAATAGTCATAGTGGGTCTGACCAAAGATGCCGCTGGGCCGGTATCTTTTGTCTAATGATAGTCATAAGCAAGTAAGTGTAGGATGGAGATGCACATGTTACACTGCTCTGTAATCCTCTTCCAGCTCCTAACTATTCTTAGCTCAGGGATTTCCTGAGTTGGATGTGGTTTCCGTATATTTAGTAACCATTAATGGATTTCTTTTTAGTTTTCCCCGCCCCTCGCCAGTGAACTCGTTCACTTATCCTTTAAGCCCTTACAAAGTTGCAGCATTTACACCATCTTTTGGCTAGGATTTCCTATAGGTCTATTACCTGTCATTGCAAGAAACACCTTTTCATTTACAGTTTGCCGTGGTTCTGCTGGTTATTTAGCTCTTGTATGGAAGAGGCAGCCATCACTCCCTATTTAGTCTGTCCATCTTGCTTGTTACTCTGTGGATGTCTGCTGTGTTTTCTTATTTTCTCTTAAAATAACTTTTTCAAGCTGAAGCACCTTAGTTTACTTAATTGTTTTCATACAGAATTTATTCCACACCTTTGACCATTCTTGTGACTTTCCCCCAAACCTTTTTAAGTATTGCTACGTTATTTATGGTGGCAAAGGGACCCAGAACTGCACAGTGTTCAAGAGGTCTGTAAAACATTAGCTTGCATAGTGTGTACTGACACTTGTTCTCTGTTCCCTTCCTAGTATTTGATTTGCTTTGCTTTTTTAATTTCTCCTGAGCACCAGCTTGATGTTGGGTAGTGTCAGAATTCCATGAGACTGTCTTGCTGCTGACACATCAGCTCAGACCCCATTGTTTTGTTTGCAAAATCGGGATTGTTTTTCTCCCCGTATCACTTTAAAGCAATGTAAACTCTGAGAAGACTATATATAGCAAGAAAAGTATTATTGGAGTTTGGGAGAAAGCCAACTATTGTGTTTGAACAGCTTTAATCACACAGTGGCTGTGTGTTTGATGTAGATAAATGTCTTAAGTACACGTAGTAAAAGTAGATGAATTAATAATTTCAGTTTTTTCAGATCTTGCTGTAGAACTTCAGACACGTTCAAGACGTGGAAACTGATCCCCCTCCTCCCTTTTTTTAGACTTATTTGGAGTAAGTTGGACAACCGTGGTTTTGTTCTGCTTGAAATACAGATATTGTTATACTATTCCCTGACTTTGGTGTGGTGGGATTTTTTTTTTTCAGGGGGAGTTGTTGTTTTGGATCTCCATGTCATTGTTCAGGTTGGAACAATGAAGAGAAAGAGAATTAGTGCATTTGTATCAAGTTTTAGCCCACTTATACCATTGCTGTGACTGAAGCAAAATAGGGGGATTAAATTCTAAGTTTTGTTTCTGAATGATTTTTGGCTAGCACTTTTCTGGGCTTTTTAGTGGCCAAGAAGAGGCTTTAAGCTCTAACCTAAAAATGGAATTAGGCTTGCCTTATTCTTTTTCTGTGGAAACTCAGAGGTGATAGCATACTGCATCTTGTTTTTAAAAGTTTTAAAGACATGAAATAGCTTTTGTTAGCAGAGTTAAATCTCTTATGTGTAGATATTGATGGTGTTTGTTAACCCCACTGGTGTCCTGTGGTTTTAGTAGCTAGTATATAGAGTTTTAACATACTAAAATGGCCTGATGCGCTCGATATTTATTAGGTATTAATTTACTTTTTGAGAATTTTTTTCATTGACCCAGATAAGGAGGGCATTTAGGGTTTGTTTTGTGGAACAGAAAGTATAGTTCAGTCATGTCCTGTCAGTTTTCTGTGGCACAAGTAGCTGGTTAGTAGGTCACTCATGAACATGCAGATGATGCCCTATTTAGGCATTTAATATGATGTTTAGGTTTTTTGTTTGAAAATATGAGTAGAATGGGATAGGGCTTTGCCTGCAAAGCAAGTTCATGTAACTTACATGGGAAGAAAAACTATTGTTTTATCAGAAGCATCTTATTTCTGATTGTATATGAGCTCAAATATATAGATCATTGCTCTGGGTGATTACAATTGTCATGAGACTGTCATTATATTATTAATTAAGCAGTCTTATCTGCTTGAATGAGCTGTAGGACATTTATCTTCATTAAGCTGAAGAGAATAAAGTGCAGTAAATTGGATATCAAATGAGCTCAGTCTTGCTGCCTTTGCTTTCTCCTCCTCACCCATTTTTTGCTAAGCAATGTTGGAATATTGCTGAGGAAGCTGTTGGCCCACAATAGATACATATTTTTCTGTTTAGTGTGGTCCTAAATGGCAAGAAAAAAAAGAGAAATTTGCAGAACTAATATTCTGCTTCCTGAGTTCTTAAATGAAAACTGAGTTTATAATAATCTACGTGCATTAAAGTAAGGCTTGGACTCCAGTGATAGTGGGGTTTGTGCTAAGCACTGTTCAAACACAAAGTGAGAAATTGATGCTAGCTGAGAATCTCACAAGTAAAAAAGGTCTTTCAGGAGGCAAGAAAGCTAATGTTTCAGTAAAGAAGTTAAGATCACTTGCCCAGGATCATAGGCCCTCAGTAGAACTAAGCCTTCAGGTTTTTTGTTTAATGACTTCTCAAAGTAGTGTAGCGCACACACATCTTGTTTGTGATGCCTTTTTCCTGACAAAAACTAAACAGTAGTACCTGTCTATACCTGCTTTTACTTAGATAATAATCTCTTGAGTGTCTTGTAATTTGAAGTATCAGAAGAACAACAGCTATTTAAAAAACACCACAGTTTCCCCAAATCCTTGGAGGAATCCAGACACAGTAATTCTTAATGTCCCATCAAAATAGAGTAAATAAATCCCAAGTGCTCTGAAAGAAGGCAAGTGACAGAACTGCTAGGAGACTTACACGAGATCTGTTTTTGAAAAGCAGCTGTATTGTATTATATGCAGATAATAAAATTTCCACCTGCATTTGGGAAAAGTACAGAGCCCACTAAAACCTACGTTTGTACTTGGTCAACTCGTTGAATTGGTAACTGAAAGTAAAATACTAACAGAAGGTGCATTCAGGTAAAGTCTGTCAGATTTTTTTGGCACCTTGTCTCACTAATGTGTTGTAGTTGTTAAAGAATCAGTAGGTAAAAAGTTCTCCTTACCCTGGTTGAACCTTGAATATGTTACAGCACTCTTATATTAGCTTGTTTCAGAGATGGTGCTATGTCTTAATGGAGCTTCTTGCCAAACGTGCTTTAAAAGGGGTGAATAAAAATGTTACGGTAAGTACTCATTTTTCATCTGAACACGGATTATTCAAGCCTCACGGAAGACTCTCTGATTCATGGTCTTTAAACACTGAGAACTTTCTAAGCTAGGAACACTGCACATGAACTTAGGTGGAACTATGGTTATCATAACATGCCTGACATTCCGTATTCTCCTCTTTGTAGGACTTCTGTTTATTACCTCCATTCCTACTGGAACTAAATGTTGAGAATCCAGGCTTTCAAAAATCATAGACTTGTAACATTTTTGTGGGGAGAAGGTACATGTTAAAACAGGGGGTTTTTTTGGTGGGTTTTTTTGTTTTTTTGTTTTTTTGATGTATGTGAATACTCTTTTATAGCTGGAGAAGACTCTCAGGTGCACAGTACCTTTGCAAACATTTGTGGTGGAAGAGCAAAGTATGCGTATACTGTTTTAATAGTACAGTTATTGTCAGCATGCTGTGTACACGGTCTTGTTAGTATACCTGTCTGCATCCCTCTGAGACTGTTTATGTGGTGGGAGGGATAGTGTATATTTTGTATTATGGATAGTATTAAAAAAGTAATATGCATGAGATAGTAATCTCTGGAAAAAATGCCTTGAGGTGTGTATACATGCAGTTTTCCCATCCATCTTCCAAAAACTTGATGTACATCTAGGTAATTAACATGTTAAACTATAGAAACCCATAAAACAGGTTTGATTGTTTCTGTGGTTTACTTCCTATATTGCAAAAGTGTACAGACTATTGTCTGTTAGAAATGTAGGGCATGTAGGTCACTCACCTATGGCAGAGGCATATACTTGAATTGTAGTACGGGGGGTGAATACAGCCATAGGCAGAGGTGTTCCGTTCAGCACTGAAGCTCAGATTGAAAGGCTAGATCCAAACATAGCATCTTTGTCTAAAAGATCTCAGAACATCATAGTAGAAGATTTAAGTGTCTCTGAGACACTTAAGAGGACACTTAGTAAAAATATTCTCCTTTAAGAACAGTTGGCTTTAGCATCAGACATGTGTTTGATTCAACTTGATGTCAAATACACCGATACTCTTATATCCTTCACTAACTGAAATTTTGTGAAAGGAGTGATTGTTTTAAAACTTTTTTTTCATAATTGATGGTGATTTTTATAATTGTGTGTCTTTCACCCTTCCCTGATGGGCAAAAGCTCGTTTGTGATGGTCTGTAATGGCTTTCTTTCCCCACGGCAGTTCTGATTGGACTTAATGATTGTTTTATGATGTTCTCAACTGGCAGAAAACAAAAGTATAAGTGAATCTGATTAAAATGGTTTAAGAGCAACAAAATAGGAATATTTCTTAGCTCTGCGTAATCAGAAATATTACGTAGTAACAGTGTTGTTTCCATTGCTCTTACTGTTTTCTTTGATTTTATTAGAATTAAGGCTGTGAATAACTTGTAAAGTAGTTAAAGAATAACTAATCATCACAGAAGAAAATATACCAGCTACATAGCATCTCCTTGGTAGTTATATACCAGTGGAAGAGTTGGGGGGGTGAATTGTTTAGCTTACTCTTAATACATAGCATTGGCCCTAGAAGGTGTGATAGGATAGGCACTTCTTCTGTTAACCTTGTATGTGTGTTCAGTTAAGTCACTTGTTGTTAGTAAGAACAAGTAGGCTGAATTGGTATGTTCCTTGAATGCTTGATTATAGTCCTTCAAACCCATGTCATGTTTTGTTCTGTTTTTTTTTTTTTAAAAAAAAAGTAAAATCATTGTTCTTTCTTCTCTAGGTCACCTTTACAAAAGGGAAGTTTGGATTAATGAAGAAGGCATATGAGTTGAGTGTACTCTGTGACTGTGAAATAGCACTCATCATTTTTAACAGCTCTAACAAACTCTTTCAGTATGCCAGCACTGATATGGACAAAGTTCTACTTAAATACACAGAATACAACGAGCCCCATGAAAGCAGAACCAACTCAGATATCGTTGAGGTAACAATTTGAAAAGACATGTCAGTTTTCTTATCTCCTTAATGCTTCAAGTATAGAGCAATATAGAGTATTTTAAGATATTATAACCAATTGTATTTAATAAGTTGAAAATAATGTCATAAAATGTGAACTGCTGCTTTTAGCCTGGTTTTTCTAAGGCAGTAAGTAGTCTTTACAGCCATGTTGTTTTCCCATCTGCCCTCTACCCCCTGCCAGTTTCTGGGAAACATGTTTTCAACCACATTTGGCAATGGAAATAGAGGTGTGAAAGAAGGTTGTTTTTTCTGGGGGATGGAGGGGAGAAGTGTTCAAGGTTTCAATGGAAAAAATCAATTGGATGGAGAATAAGGTCCAGAGAGTGCCCTCAGCCTAACAGACAATTATGGTTGGCTCCTTTTCTCTTCTGAGGTAGTAGCCACTTCACCAGTCAAATGTTGCACACAGATCAAATCAGCCACAGCCTGTGTTGCCCCTTGTTCAGCCACCAACAGGTGAATCTGTGGAGCAAATGAACTTCATTAAATTTGTTGTCCAGTCACTCTGCATGTCAGTTAAAACACAGCAGTAGAATGACTGCAATTTCTGCAGTAATAGAATAGCATGAATATATTTACTCAAAGGTATTGCTTTTGTCTACTTCTATTGTGCTTGTGCTTTAAATAGAAACTCTTTCCAGTACATAATTTCGAAATTAGGTGCAGTAGAAATCAAGGATTTTCGTGGCAGTTGGAGCCTTTATGTACTGTAACTGCATTTCAGATAAGAGTCATGTCTCCAGCAGTCCTGTAAGTAGACCAGAACAGGTGGCTGACTTAAGTGTTTAATCTAAATTCTGAAGTTGTCTTCTGAACAAATGCCTTGCTTTTTAGGAATGGTTTAGGAATAGTGATTAGCCTTGTGTAGCTGAAGAGTCTATTGCCAAGGGGATCACAGAGCACAGGGAGGATACTGGCTGATGTTGTTAATAAGTTTTCAGGCAAAAATCAGATGGACAAAACTGAGAAACAGACAAATGCCTTGTAGCTTTCTGAGAAGATTCCCTGCTAATTTGTCAGCTGCCTTTTATGATCAGAAAAAAAACCTCCCCAACTTCTGTCTCCAACGTTCAGTACTAATGAGAGGGATAATACAAGCTTTGAAGAGTTGAAGGAGTATTAGTCACTGAGTTAGTATAAGTGAGGGATAGCCACTGTAGAGAAAGGAAAAAACTAATTCTTTCAAGGTGAGCTTTTGATTGTGACAGATGTAATTTTGAGGCAGGGATGCACGCAAGTCAGTTAGCCAGGCTGATGTGTTGTTCTGCATCTAAGGCCTGTTTGTGTTATGACTTGCGGTAGTAGTGCTTCTTCACATCATGGGGACTAAGGACCTCTTCCAAAATAATCTCCACTCAAGGCTGCCTGTAGTGTGGGGTTTTTTTTTGGGGGGGGGGGAGGGGATGGGTTTGTTGTTGGGTTTTTTTGGTGGTGGTGGTGTTTTGGTGTGGTTTTTATTGTTGTTGTGTGTGTTGGTTTTTGTTTTGTTTTGGTTGTTTGTTTTTTGTTGTTTTTTCTTTTTTTTAACCGGTGTTAAGCATTTGACCTCTGGCAACTACATAAAAAAGTGCAGTTAGTACCCAAGTGCATATATGGTTTCTATCCTGTGGTAATGTGCAAGGTATCATCTGCAGATTCTTTTTAATTTTCCTCTCTAGGTTTACTGTATTATAGCGTGGGATTTGGGACTTTATTCTCATTTTTCAAACACAGCATCTCTCAATCTCTTCAGGTTAGCCCTGTGCAGTTTTTAGTCTGCTTTAAATGTGATTTTTTTTTTTTTTTTTTAGCTTTTTTAGGAAAAAGTTCTTTAGGCAGAGGGGGAGCGTATGCCTCTTTGCAGCGAAAATATGTTCTTTAAGTTTATGGCTGTGTTCTGGATGGGAAAGTTAAATTGGTAGGATGAAACATTTACAAGCTCACTATATATAAGGTAGAGTGATGTTTTCTATCTGTTGGATTCCAGGAAAAAAAATTTTGTACAGTATTTCAGAGAGATACTCTGCAGTTTAATTCTTTGCAACCGATTGCATTTCGTATTTGCTCTGCCTGTGTGGTAACTTTCTAGTCTGTTAACTATTGCTCTTTAAGCAATTAAGAGCTATTGTTCATGATTGGGTTTGGGTGTTTATTTCCCACTGTAAGTAAATAATGTCTTTAATTTAGAAAACCATTCCTTTTCAGTGGAATTTTCTTTTTTTTTTTTTTGCTTTACAACAGTGCTGAATGGAGAATATGACGTGTTTTGGAGCAGATGCAGTGCCAGGTACAGCATAGGTGGGGAGGAACATGGGAGAAGAGATGAGATGGGGGGGGAGTAAGACTCCTGTATTTAAGCAGTGGCAAGTTGCCAGAAGCTCACTGCCTCGTGTAATGTCACCACTGATGGATGCTTGTAGCATGACAGAGGTGAAGTTACAGCACCAGCATTTTGGAAACGTTCTGAAAGAACAACGTAAAATGGCTTCTCTTTGTTGTGCCTACGTAGAAATGTGATTTTAACAAAAATTACAAAAAAAACCCCAAACCTAAAAATCTGTCAAATCAATACTAAACCAATTTAGAATAAGTAATTCCATTTTATGGAGTTATAGCTGATGTATATATCTTAGTTAACATTTTAGTAATTCACTTGCCTCCTTGAATATGACAAATGTGATTCTGAAATAGTGTTTATTGTGATGTCAGCTCACCATGAAACTAGTCTTGACCCACTGTAGTCCTGATAGCATGGCAGGAGGGTTTTTTTGCTGTGCTAGAAGGAAAGCAGATTCTACACAGCTCAGAATCTGTATAAGGGAAGAAACAGATCTACTTATTTTCAGTACTGGGTAGATGGCAATATTGTAAATGATTAAGTGAAATTGATGAGACATCTTCCCCTTATAGTTGCCTCCTGTTCAGTTTTGGCATAGGAATTGCTTTTATATGCCCAGAGCCTGGTATCTTCTGTTGCTGCTGGAACGTTTGTGTGAAAACATAGTAGGAGGGAGAGCACTGGCATCTTAAATGAATACTAGATTATTTTTTTTGATACATGCCCTTATGTCTTTCACTGTACATGTTATTGTAGATGTGAATGCTCTGTTGCTGTCCTGTAGCTATTCTTCTTATCTCTTTCCTGTGTTTTTGTTGGTCCCATTTTTCTTTTTAATTTCTTGTCACCCCCCTTTTTTTTTCCATTCAATTTGTAAGAAGTTTGCCTGTCCATAAACTGTTGCCTTCTTTACCTATTTCTTGCCATGGGTTTTTGTCATCATAACTTTTTTTCTTTCATAGCTACCTGGTAACGAGTAACTGATACGGGTGTAAGCGCTATGATTTTTCGGCCATCTCAGAATCATAGATTTTTGAATAGCTGGAATTTGGAGTTACAGACTGTTGTTTTAATGTGAGCTTAGTTTTCTATCAGTAGTAGATTTGGGGATGGTCCATTCTCTGCCAACTGGTACTTTTAAAACTAAAGGAGAACATCTTGTAACAAATGGCCTGTAAACAGTTTTAAAGGATAATTTGTGTGGCATTTTTCAGCTGGGACTCAACCTATGTGATCTTTGAATTTTTTGCTGTCTGAATCATTTACAGCATTGTCAAAAAGAGGTGAACAGGGTTGTTTGAAACACTCAAATCTTCAGAACATACATAGGTCTGTGAAAAAACTTCATTGCTTATCAGGATCAGGCACAATTGGTCTAATGGGTTTTTTGGATTCATTTCTGCATCGCTTTGAACTGTGGAAGGTGAACACAGCTGATGTTGGTGAGGACAGTGAAACCTTGCTTATGATTGCTGATCTCCTGACCTTCTAGTAAAAGGCATTTACTCAAGAGGTGGTGAGTGCACTGTTTCCTTTAAGCCTCATGAAAAAAATGTATCTTCTGTTGAAATTCCAAAATAACCTTTTCATAACAATTTCAGAAATACAAATTATAATTAAAAAAAATTCTTTGATGTTTCTTGTTCTTGGAGAATATGGTCCTTTTCACATCTGAGAGGTTTTTGTTCTGCTGTACGATAAGTTTTTATTTGTCTTATGTTTTCATAGTTATTTGGGTGAAAGCTAGTGCTCTTGCACAGGTTAGGTGGACTATACAGGGATATTGAAAAAAGTGCAATTTTGATTTGGTGTGTGGTTTGAATTCTTGAAATATTAAGATCATGCACTTAGTTTTACAAAGCCATAATGGCACAGTTGAAGATTGTTACGGTGAAGTACTGTCTATGATTTGAAGGACTTGCCGTAGGTGTTACAGCTTTTGTTGCTTTAATGTTCATGGACTTTTTTCTGTAACGCATTATTCTTGGCAAGTAATTATTTTTCATGAAGAAAGAAGTTGAGTACTTCTGCAGAGTAAAATGGGAAGAATTTCAGGTTTTGTCAGGATTCTGTATCCATATGGTCGACAGAATGTTTTAATATATAAAAGACAGTTTGAGACCTTGAGCCGTTCATCCTTTTTTGATCCAAAGACACAGGAGGAAATGAACAGGCACTCATACTCAATCTTCTTTAGTGTAGGGGTGTTAAGATTATGACAGATTATCTACGAAGTAACTCCCACGTTGGGTCCTTCTGTCCCTTCAGAAGACCTCAGGAAGCAGTAGTTCTTCAGTTCCCTCTTTTCCAGCCTTGCTTTTTCTGGGAGTCAAGGGCTGAAGACAGGCTCTTCTTGCCTGTTTAACTCTACTTTTTATCTCTTTTTCCGTGTTTTGGTGTTCCTTGCGTGATACAGCAAAACAGTTTGTTTCACCTACACTCATCCGTGGGTGGATTGTGCGTGTTCCATCATATCACCTCATCAAACTGAGGTGACTTGATTTTTAGGAGCCTGTCTAAAATGTGACCTACTTTGCTGGTTGGCATCTGTGCCTGTGAGAATTTCGATGGGTGTCAGTTAATGAGCCTCTTCTGTGCTGTACAGTTTAGTGCTTTTTCAGTATAGTATAATGTGCTGTGTAAGGCTT